TTATCATGCTTTTTCAGTCGTGTGTTTAATCCTGCTCCTGCATCAATTGGTAACTAGTTATGTTCTAGGAAAGGTGCTTCTATTTTTTACATGGCCCTGGCTGCATAATCAGTTACGTTTGAGAAAAGATTGCCTCGTGCTCTCCACTTCAGCTGTTTCTATAACAAAGGAAAAGTAAAATGATATTCTTCTTATACTTTGAGTTACAAATATTAATAAATCTGCATCAATAGTAAAAAGATGGAGGATCAACTAGACCCTGGGCAGCTTCTGTAATATCTTTCATATACAATACCAGGGACTGATCTGTCAGACCCTCATTAAGTCTTAATCCCTCCCTTACAATACACATTTTAGCCAGATCATCAGCTTTCGTAAATTATCATAGCTCAATTGAAGTAAGTGGAGCTGTCACAATTTACATTAGCTGAGGATCTGGTCATTTTGTGTAATTTAAAGACAGAAAGAAAAAATCCTGTTTGTCAGATTTGACATATTAACTAAAATGACAATATTTATTCCTAATTAGAGATGGAACTAAACCAACCCAAACAGGTCCTAGCTTTCACAAACCTTAGGGTCCCTCTGGACTCAGATTTGTGACAAAAGGGTTTTACAAATGACTAACAGCAGAGTCTATATCTTACCAAGCCACACACTGATCAGAACATACATACATACAGAACATAGGTCTATTACAGGAGAGTGGGTGGGTGAGGTTTTGTTGCCTGCAATGTGCAGGAGGTCAGACTAGATGATCATGATGGTCCCTTCTGGCCTTAAAGTCTATGAGAACAGTAAATATTCAAATAGTAAGACTAAAATTAATCAAAGTTTGGTATGGGGGAAGAGAGAGATCAAAAAATGACATTTGCATATCTAGAAAAGCTAGATCACTTTTTAAAGACCTCTGGCTCCCTTGGAACCCTGCATGCTTTGATTTAGGTTATTAAAACTTTATTAAATTAGTTTTTCTGACATGTACAGAATATGTTTGTGTGGTGATATAAAGGCTTTATTGGTACACAGATGGGATGATTCCCTCAATTAAAATTAGAGGGAGCAAATACCTGATGGTATAATATAAAGATTTTGGGTATACTGCAGATGCCTCACATATTACAGAGGAGCTATTTTAGAAAAGTTTTAGAGAGTTTTAAACATTTGAATTGGCACTATTTCTTGTAATTCTCTTATCTATCAGCCTGTAAAGCCAAGTGCCTCAGTCACAAGGAATCCAACAGTACAGGGTTCCAAAGGAGACATTAAAAACCTATAACAGTTACCTAGGATAGCTTCTCTATACCCATATCTAAATTGATGCTAATTGGAGAGATTTTTGTCGTAGATCATATCAGTTGCGCATAGCTATATTTTAAAATATATAGAGATAGATAGATGTTGTGGTTTTAAAATATCAGTTGTTCCTAGTGAACAGATGTCCACATTACAACAACTGCAATCATATTTGGTGCTAATTAGCTTCCTTTTTAGCAAGTCTCAGCAGCGAAGTTAAAGACTGGTGGTGAAAATAAGCTGCTATCTCACCCCTAGAAATGGCCCCTTCAGGTCAGGACCAAGGCCCAGTGAGCAGAAGGTTGCACTGTACCTTTCAAACAGTACCTGTTCTGTGGGCTAATAAAGGATGTATTCTCCGGGGCTGTCAATTAGGCACCATTTCCAAACACTGAATTCACTTTTTTTTAAAAGTCAACTGTACTCCACACACTTGATTGGCTGTCTAGTAACAATATGCTCCCGCAAGACAGGAATCACGTTTTTTGACCCATGTTCATTTTTGAGCTCCCCAAGCTGGCTGGAATGTTTTATTCAGTATTTTATTAATACTTGGTTTGTATACAGCCCTTGTCATCCATAGAATTCAAAAAACTTGACAAAAAAGGGGTCAATATTCTAATACCCAGGTTAAGTATGGGAGAAGCTGAAGCCCATAGCGTGACATGACTTACTGTAAATCACACAGCAAGCCAATGAGAGAGGCATGGTGGATGAGGTAATATCTTTGAATGGGCCATCTTCTATTGGAAAGTACAAGTTTCTGAACTACACATAGCTCTTGTTCAGATTTTGGGAAAGAAGCAGAGTGTCTGTCTTCTTTCTGCAGACCTGAGAAAGAGTTCTGTGTAGCTTGAAAGCTTGTAACTTCCACCAACAGAAGTTGGTCCAGTAAAAGATACTACCGCATCTTCTTTGCCTGGGACCAACACAGCTATGACAACGCTGCAAAAAGGTCAATGGTAGAGTAGAAACAACCTTCTTAGAAAATTACTATGGTATCTTTTAAATCTTTTCGGCTGTCCCTCGATGTGAGGATGATGTCTGCCAAGGGGGGTAGGTTCACTGATAGGTTTTTAAGTGGCTGAGGAGCCCAAAACGTGACCTGCAGATTTTCCCACAGAAGTGGCAGTTGTAATCTTGGAGGAGACATAGTTGTTGGCTGGAGTGTTGTGCCCTTTCTTTCCTCCTTTGTTGCTTCTCTGTCTCATGAGCACGTCTGTTCTCCTCAAAGCGAGCTGTGTCTCGGTGTATGGTGTGGCGCCACTGTGTTCTGTTCCTCGCCGAGTCCTCCCGGTTTGTTGGGTTGATGCCTCCCTTTTTAAGGTGTACTTCCAGTATGTCTTTGAAGCGCTTCCGCTGCCCTCGGCGAGCCCTTCTTCCCTGACTTAACCGAGAGAAGAGTACTTGCTTTGGGAGGCAAGTATCAGGCATATGTACACAGTGACCAGCCCAGCGGAGTTGGTGTTTCATGAGCTGCACTTCTATGCTGCTGATGTTGGCTGCAGAGAGAACGCTGATGTTAGTGCATCTGATCCTGAGAATCCTCCTGAAGCAGTGCTGTTGGAACCACTCCAGCTGCTTGAGATGTCATCTATAGGTTACCCAGGTCTCACATCCATAGAGAAGGGCAGGGATGATAACTGCCTTGTAAACCAAGATCTTGGTGCCTGTTTGCAGATCCCTATCATTGAAGACTCATTTCAGTAGTCTTCCAAAGGATGTGCTGGCACCGCGGATCCTGTATTCAATTTCTGAGTCAATACTGGCTGTTTGGGAGAGGTGGCTACCAAGGTATGGAAAATGGTCCACATTTTCCAGGGATTCTCCGCTGATGGTGACTTGTGGAGTACGAAGAGTAGTTTGTGCAGGTGAGGGCCGGTAGAGTACCTTGGTTTTCCCAATGTTGACAGAGAGACCCAGGTTGTCATAGGCATCTGCAAAAAGATTTAGGGTACTTTGCAGGTCAGTCTCTTTGTGTGTGAGAATGATGCAGTCCTCTGCATACTGAAGGTCAGTGATGCCAATTTTCGTGATCTTAGATTTTGTTTGGAGTTGTCGGAGACTGAGGCATTGACCATCCATATGATACTCAATCCCAATTCCATCAGGAAGGTGGTCACGGATGAGCATCAGGATCACAGCAAGTAAATGGAGAAGAGTGTTGGAGCAGTGACACAGCCCTGCTTGACACTAGTGCGAATGATGAATGGTTTGGTCTCTGAGACATTGCACAGAGTGGTGGCAGTCATCCCATCATGGAGTAGTCTGATGATGGAAATTAATTTCTGTGGACACCCAAACTTACACAGCACCTTCCATAGGGCATCACGATTGATAGTCAAAGGCCTTGGTTAGGTCGATGAATGCCATGAACAGTTCCGGGTGTTGCTCTCTGCACATCTGAATCTGTCGTGCCACGAAGATAATGTCATTTGTGCCTCGGGATGGCCTGAAGCCACACTGTGATTCAGGGAGGAGTTCCTCAGCAAGGGGGAGAAGGCAGTTTAGTAGGACCTTCCCTGCAATGGAGAGGAGGCAATACCTCTGTAGTTCCCGCACAAAGATTTGTCCCCTTTCTTGAATATTGTAACAATGTTGGCGTTCTTAAAGTCAGGTGGAATTTCTTTGCAGGTTCAGATTTTGTCGAGAAGTTAGCAAAGTTTGTGCTGGAGTATTGTTCCACCAGCCTTAAAAGCCTCAGCTGGGATGCTGTCTGGACTGGTGCCTTGTGATTTTTTGTCAGGCTGAATCTTTTAAATACACAAAGTAGTCACCATTGTAATATTTAAAAAAAAGACCATAATACAGAAATATCCCTTCTACTTAGTACAGGAAATACCTAGGGAGTAACAGTAATATTTACTTGCCAAACATCTGTAAAGATTTTAATAGCAGCTACTGTCATTTTTCTATTGCAGTATAAATATAACTCAACTTTGTCGCATACTCTCATCCCTCTGCAGAGGCATCAGTGTAAATAATCTTCCACTACTTGCTGTACACTTAGGTGGTTTAGGGTCTCATCAATTCCTATTCAGGTCAGGGAAAAGATTCCCATTGACTAGAATGGGAATTGGATCAGGCCCTAGGAGCTGTGTTGAAACTCAGTAGCTTCAGTTCACAGTTGTTTCATACGAAAACCTTTCTGTCAGTTTTACTTTCTATGGGTTTGCACCTCCTGTGCCTAAAAATTCAATGCAAAGTTCAGTTGAGATTACTAACTTTCAACTGGCTTCTCAGGAAAATCAGGTGGATTTTTGGTATGAAACCAAAAATCTGCTCGAATCACAAATGTTTTGACAAATTTAAGCTAAGTTTTGAGCTTGTATCTGAACCCAGTAAGAGCATGTTTTTACTTGGCTTGTGGTCTTGTTACAAACATGTTGCACAGCTCTTGGGATACTAATACTACATAGGCTAGAGATATGTCTATGCTGCATGTAAATCCAGCTGTTGTGCTTGCATGCATGTGCACAGCAACTGATTTTTACAAGTTGGATGTGAGAATATCTACAAGAGGGACTGAATTTCATCTCATCAGTAACAGTACTGATGAGATGCAGCAGTACTGAGCTATCTGATTCTTCAGTCTGCTTGCCTACTTTCAAATAATTGGTGACAACTTCCCATTCTTGGAAGCTTTCATGCTTCTGTTCTTTTTTTCCCTTCCCTCAGTTGTGTCTAATATTTGGAGGTGCCCCTTCCTTCACACATGAAAAATATGGACTAAGGACGTAGTTACTGAAATGGTGGCCCATATTCCTGTATTATCCTCTGCAATACAGAAACCTAGTGTTTCCACTATGCTTTAGTTTTAAAATCTATAAAGGTAATTTCTGTCACGTACCTTCTTTTCCAGCTTTCTTCAACCAGTGATTCATTGAAACGACAAACTCAGGTTTGTTACTCTGCTGGGAAGTTGCCTGTTTTAATAAAACATAACAAAGTGCTCTTTAGCTTTGATTACTGTGCTCATACTCCCCACGCTGATGTTCTTTCTGGCCTGATGTAACCAGTAACGCTAAAAGGGTCTCATTTTGTGGCTGATTAGACCATAGGTAAGGACTTGTGAAGTTGTTTGCTATTTTTGATTGAAGCTTGGAATCTTCAGCCAAGGGCTGGAACAAAAGATTTGAGTTTTAAAAGGGTTTAATAGAATATCCAATTGGGAGTTTCACAGAAACATTTGCCTCAGTCAGTGGCAATTGACTTGAGTTTTAGAACCTATCACATATTTCAGTGTTTAAAGGTGCCAAAAAGTGGGGCATATTTCCTATTACTTCCCATTCACCCTTGTGCTCACTTCTGTAATTACAGTTTTGAAGGTGGCCAGGATATTCTGGTGCGATTTGGGAGACCCACATTTTAACAGCAAATCCTGACTTCAGGTGAGTGTAGACCTTAGAGGAAAGGCCATTTCACTATACCATAGCCCATCAGCTGAGATATTGAAGTACTGGCAGTGATTGCGTCCTGGTCAAAAAAACAACTTTCTGCCCTTCATTCATGTGAAAAAAACAATCCAAGTGAACAGTGAGTTCCAAGGGAATCTACATTGGACACCTAGAGCTGCCATTAGATGGATGTAAGGCAAAAAGCAATCTGGGATTCCTATAAAAATCATTCACTCTAAAACAAGCTGAAAAGCTAATGCAGAATCTCTTGGTAGATGCAGCAGAATAGATTATTATTAAGAACAGATTATTTCACATGACTAAAATCTCTTATATTGTTTGAACAAATATCTAAATATTTGAAAAAATTCTATTACAATATTCAACATAGAATTGTAGTGCAATATAACTAGGAACAGTTGCCCTACTAGTTATAAACCATTAGTATCTCTTGCTGAATAATATTTTTTTTAATTGGTATGGGAGTGTAAATATGAACCAATATTTGCAGGCGTGATTGCTCTATAAACATGCTGTGGAATAAAGCACTAGACATATATTGAGCTCTATCACTCATACAAGAGACATTTCTTAAATGTAACTGAATAGCTCCTTTTTCTTGTGTAACTAGACTGATGCCTGTTTGAACTCTAAATAGTTATTACACAATCATCTTTAAGAGTTTTGTATATTTCTAATGTGATTATGTAAGTAGAACCTAATGAAAAAGCTAAACAAAATGTTAATGTAATTAAGGAATATGCACTATCTTTCAAGTGGGCATTTCAATTAAAAATAAATAAAACCCATTACATGATGATACAGTGCAAAGATCTCATTTTCATCAGTCAAAGTTCATTCTTATTCAAAAAGTGACAGATTTCTCTTGAGAGAACTAGAAGCAGCAATCTTCTCTCTCCATTCAAACCATGCATATGTACATAATTAAGGGTCCACAAACAGATCACTTTCTCAAAGTTCAGACATCTCTCGATATCATATTTTATGCATAAAATGCCTTTTGAGATTGTTATTGTATTTCGGTGGTCTGTCTGATACGGTGAGTAATTTTATAATAAAATTTAAATCACATCTAATTATTAGTAGGAGAGAATTCTAAGTGCATTATAAAAGCTTATATATGTATGAATTGCTTTAACACTTCAGTAACATGACTGCAGCCATATCACCTTGTGGTGTTATCCTGTCCAACAGTATGAGGCTGGATTAATTTTTGAATAGAAGATCTCATAAGAACCTCCAGTGGTAGGTGATGCAGGTGTTTCAATGGGAGGCACTCTTCCCACTGGTCTATACTGCAGTCATGGGGTGTGACTGCAGCTCCAGTAGACATACCAGAGCTACCTTTAATTTAGCTAGCTTAGGTAGCAAAGCAGTGAAGCCATGGCAGCGTATGGGGTGTACAAGCCCATCCAGTATCCTGGATAATTACTCATGGGGCTATCCTACGTGTCAGTGCATGCTGCCAGTACCTGAGCTAGCTAGATTAAAGCTAGCTCCAGTATGTCTGCTCAAGCTCCAATCACATCCTGTGACTGCATTATGGTCTTAGTAATGAACCAAAGCCTTGTGTGGTGCTGAACACAGCTGCTGGAGGTTACACCTTTGCAGTCAGCATCATTGCTACTTGTGTTGATTAAAGATCACTTGGCACTTTCCAGTATCCTAGCCAAATTCCAACTCATATGACAGGTAGTTTATGGAACAATCTACAATTGTGTTTCCTCATAGGCTGTATCCAGTGAAATAAGTTGGCATTCATACATGAGTATCTTCTGTCCCTTATGCAGAAACAGGATTTGTCCTGCCAGGATCACTCATTGGTTCTTCAGTTTTGGTATCCTGCTCCACTAAATGCCTTCTGATGACTCAGAAGAAAGCAAAAATAAAAGCCAGCAATTAGAGCTGACTGAAAATTTTCTGACAGTGTTTTTCAAGCAGAAAATGCCAATCCATTGACATCAAAATGTTCTACAGGAACACGTCAATTTTGATGAAATTTCGTTTTGAAAAAAAAATAGAGTATTTTGATAAGAGTGAAACATTCAATTTCAAGCTTATAAGAATGGAACATTTTGATTTTTAATTTTGAAATGTATTGAAATTAGTTTATATTATGTATAAAATAATACAATTTAAAATAGAATTAAAATAAGTCAACATAGAAATGAAATAAAACAGGTTCACTGACCAAACTTTTTTGTTCAGATTCTGAATTAATTTTCCCCCAAAAAATGTCAGAATTTCACATGGAACAGAAATTTCGGTTCCTGGCCAATACTACCAACAATACATCTGACCAATGGGCTTGAATCAGATCCCCAAAGTAGTTTCCACAGGGAAGAGTCCCTGCAGATTCTTTATTGAGGGTTCCTTTTCCAACAGTTTTTCTGTTATGAGAATGAGAGTCTTTTGCTAGTGTATGGTCCAGCTCCTCAACTAAGTTACTATGCAAAAGAATGCATGTTCTTTCATTTTTCTTGACAGGAGTGCAAGCCATAGGTGGTCCTGCCATTGGCTTTTTATCATCTAATCAAGATTTTCCCAAATATCCGATTTCCTGTTTGGCAGTAGAGGTGGTTTCAGGAATTCTCCACACTTACCTGAGACACACAAAACAACAACAGATAATTTCGTGTTTCTTTATGGCTTGGAAAATGCATTGTTTTGTGGATCCCTTTTTAAGCTTTTTAGCCTTTAAGGGTATGTCTATACTACTCGCCGGATCGGCGGGCAGCGATCGATCCAGCGGGGGTCAATTTATCGCATCTAGTCTAGATGCAATAAATCGACCCCCAAGCGCTCTCCCATTAACTCCTGTACTCCACCGCCGCGAGAGGCGCAGGCGGAGTCAACGGGGAGCAGCAGCAGTTGACTCACTGCAGTGAAGACACTGCGGTGATTAGGTCTAAGTACTTCGACTTCAGCTACGTTATTCACATAGCTGAAGTTGCGTAACTTAGATCGATTCCCCCCCTCTTCCCCCAATATAGACCAGGCCTAAGAGTAGAAATCCAGTCAATTTAGTATGTTCAGAGAAGGGAAAATTAACCTGCAAGTTAGCTTCTCTGAAGTTATCATTTGACTTGCTTCCCTGTTTGCCCACTCAACTTCCACTGAGATTTGGGAAGTAAAAGCTTTTGATTACTTTCTTTCTGATCATACTATCACATAAATGTATATTTCTGGCATAAACTATTCAGAGGGGATTAGAAGCACTTTGCTGCTGAGACACAGAGTCTGTTCAGGATACTCATCTACCAGAGGAAAAAAGCTTAAGCAAAGAACTCCACTAGCGATACATCTCACACTAAAAGCACAAGACTCAAAAACAGGAATTCAGTCAAATTTTATTTTCAGAGAAGATAAATCATAGGTAACTAATTGTTCCTTCCCACCCTTTGATCAAATACATCTACTCTTCCTGCATTGTTTAGGTTGCCAAGACATCTAAATTTACTACACTACACTGTTTCCTTTATTTAGCATATGAAATAATGCAATACCAGATTATAGTTAAACTGATAAGAACAGATACTACACTTGGACCACAGCTCAAAGAGCCAGGAAGCGGTAAATCACTTTGCTTTTTTATTTTAGTGGCAACATCTTTTTTATTTTCCTTCTCTGCAGTAAGATGGCTTCAAAGAACCCAGATCAGAAGGCAAAACAGAATAAAGAGGTGTCTCTTCTGAACCACAAAGGTGAACCTTCTATGGATTCTGTGAATTTTTAACTCTTGGTATTTTAGTCTCTTGGTGTTTGCTGGACACTTTAAGTTTCTGAGAAATGTGTGTATATAATGGAATATATTTTGGAGAATAGATGTTTGATTTGCTTTTTATATTTTAATTGCTTCTACATCAGATATGAAAAAAGAGAGATTTTCCTTCAAGTTTAGATTAAGTTGATTGAAAGTTTGTTTTGTGACTATAAAACAGATTTACCTAGCTGGCAATATTGAAGTTCTATTAGTGCCAAAGACCTATATCTTGTATCTTTAGAGCACCAATCACCATACTATGTGGGTGCTTTTAATCTTTTTGTGTCTTTACATCAGGATCAACATCATTTAGCCTCATTGTGATAAGACAGACCCCAAAAACATAGTGGAACTCAGGAAGTCCTGGGATTCTGAGCTAGGACTTTATACTGAAGTATCACTCACACTTGAGAAGGAAGTTCTATGTATGCTGGAGAAGCCACAAGCATTTTGACAGTGGACTGGTAGGGAAACCTTATCCAACACCATGATTTTAAGTGGTAGGTGATGCATCATTATTTCCCTTACCATCTTCAGCAGTGGTACAGAATATTACAACATCTGACAGGTGTCTCTTGCTGTCAAGATCTCTACCTTGCCTGGCAATTCTAGCACTGGAGAAAGATCTGTCAGAATTTACAAGGTAGGAGATTCTGACACACAATAAAGTTGAAGCAATTGCAATGTTAGTAATAGGTAGACGGCTCACCTCAAAGAAGGTGCAAAGATCTGATCAATGAAGAAATTGGCATGAAAGGGCTTTGCAAAAATGGGATTTGTTGTTTATTTATAGCACATAATGGGCACTGCTAGGCACTTTCCAAATACTTGAGAAGGATGGTCCCTGCTCAGAGGAGACCACAATATAAAGACGGATAGACAAGTAAACAGAGGCTAGGAAAATAAGAACAATAAGAGGCAATGGCTATACAAATCAACTTGATTCACTGTAAACAACATGACAAAAATGGGTCTTTAAGAGGGACTTAAATATGGACTGGGTGGAGGCTCTGTGGATGAATTCAGGAAGGTCATACCTAGAGTTGTGCAAATAACTGATATTATTTGGTTTGCTGGCAATTCCAAAAAAATTGTTTGGAGTGGAAATAAACACTTTGTTTCTAAATGTTTCATTTTGATTTTGAGCTTTTTTTAAGGCATTGTTTAATTAAAGGAAATTTTGAATTAAAAAAAATGTTTCAGTTTTTAAACGCTAAAATGAAACAGTTGGATTTGGGGGGGATTTTTTTTTCTGACAGAAACAATTTGGTGAAATTGTAAAATGTTTCAGTTCACCCAAATCTGAATTTGTTGCTGAAAAAAGTTTTGATCAGAAAATTTGCCCAGCTCCTAGGCATACTGTGTACTGGAGGCTGCAGGAAGAAGGCACAGAGGTGTTATAAAGAGGGATTTGAATTTCTGCCTTCAGAGAACATGGCTGGTTTTGAGTAGCTCTAGAACCTGGGTCTTCTGCCTAGGTCACACAAGGGGTCTGTTCTAGAAAAGTTATACAATGAAAGCTACTTACATTACAGCTATAGGTCTTTATCTTGTGTGGTATAGTCTGCATCTTCTGACTTTCCACTGCAAAATTTTTCATTTTCTCAATATTTCTGCCCTCTATCATGAAGTGGTGAAAAAAAATAGGCTGAAAACCAGCAGAGAATTTGAAACATAGAAGATTTATATTTATGGGAAGCAAATGAGGCCTCAGGGGAGTGATTTAGGGTTACACTCACCATTTTCACTGGCATGTTTTATCCAGTTCTGAGCTGCCTGATGTGACTTTGAAGCACCACAGTACATATTTTGATACACCTGTAAAAAGATAGTAACAAATCATTGCTTCTTATACCAAGGCTGCCAATCTGAGCACATCACTAGCAAGTGTATATATTTAGATATACTGTGTGATGCTGTCCTAACAGTTCCACGGAGCAGCAGCAAACAGAAATGAGAGCACTGCAGTGAATCTGAAAACAAGCAGACCTGCTGTAACCAGGCATGTTTTATTATATGGGCTTGATTTTAAGAAGAGCTGCCTACTCACAACGCCAGCTGACATCAATAGGAGCTATGGATGGCCAGCCCTTCTGAAAATCAGGCCCACTGTCTCTGGGTATCATCTATGATTAGCAGGTATAGCTTCTGAGAGTGAGTGAGTGTGTGTGTGTAGTTCAGCATACAGAATGAGGATAGGATGGTTGAGCAAATGCCTCAGTGCCATTCAAGAAATACAGGCTAGCATTTAGGGATCAATCTTCCTACACATGAAGTCAATGTCAAAATTTCCATTGACTTCAGTGGTGCAATAACTTGCCCTTAAAAAGAAGTCACAACATTAAATTAATGAGCGTATATCTTCCAAATCCATCTCCAAATGGCCAGTTAGACTCCAAACACTCAAAAATGCAATTCTAAGGCAGGCCAGATAGAGGGGGAAAACACAATAGTATTTAAAAGTGGTAAAACATTATACCCATTTTAAATGTATTGCCCACTGGGAGCTATTCAGAGCAGGCCCTCCAATGTTTTGACCTCCAATAGGTCTTGTTCACAAGACATTGGCCATAGAAGCCCAGCTGGTATTCCTAATGAACACAATAACAGATCCAATTACTTCAACCAATAAGCATTAAAAAGAAAATGCAGCACCAACAGCCTTTATTGCTTTGTTAATTCAAATACATATATCTGCAGATATTACAATAAAGGCAAGAGCACAGCATCCTTACCCCTTCACTTGTCTTTTCTGCAGACTACACACGCTCTAGACTTTAACTCCTTCCTCACAGGTTTTATTTTCCAAACCTTGTATCTTTGTCGCTTTCTCCTAACTTCTCTTTCCAGTTTGCCGAAACGGGCTGTCCCAATATGAATGCATTTGTCTAACTGAAGCCAAATTGATGCTGAGTAGATTGGTTTAATTATCCCCGTTTGCTTTATGTGTGTTTCTCCCATCATAACTTATAATCTTCTTCAAGTAGTTGCAGCCGTATATTCCATGTGGGCATGTGCACGTGCTGTGCACCAGAGCCGGAGAACTTTGCCTAGCAGCCCCTGTAGGGAAGGCGCTCACACCCTGCTGATGTAGCCCCTCCCCTGGCCAAATAAGGGTGGTGCCGTCCCAAACCCCTCTGTTCCTTCTCACCGCCCATGGCTAGAGTCAGAGCTGTGTGGTGTCTTCACCTCATACTTCCACCCTCAGTTTTCTGAGAACTTTGCTTGTATATAGTAGTAATGGTATCTTAGTTGTATCTTAGATGTAGTTTAAATGTTAGTTTAGTGTTAGTAGAGTAGTTGGCTTCCCTGTGAGATGCCCTCATGGGGTTCAAGCATTGTACACCATGTAGCGGGGCCATCCCCAACAGCAACCCCCACCCAAAGTGCTTGTTGTGTCTTAGTGAGGGACACATTAAAGAGTGGTGCTCCATCTGCAAGTCATTCACAAAGAGGACTCGGGACAAGAGACTTGTGGTTGAAGCAGCACCTTCTGGAGCAGGCTGAGTAGGATTCTGTGTCTGTCATGGAGGTCACAGAAGTCACAGATTCCGTGACTTTCTGCAACCTCCGTGACTTCTGCAGAGGCCAGTGTAGTGTGGCTGACCCCACGGCCGCCCAAGGAGATGCTCTGGGGCAGATGCTCAGGTCGCCCCGGGGACAGCCACACCAGCCACTGTTCGGGCGGCCCCAGGCAGCTTTCCTGGGCTGGCCAGAGCTGCCGCAGTCTGCGGCCCCAGACAGTGGTCCCTGGCGGTTCCAGCCATGGGGTGTCCATTGAGTCCAGTACTGATGACATTGGCACCAGAGCCAACCATCTCCATGCCAACAGCATACCAGGCAGCATCAGACCTTCTTTGCCTCTCAATCCTGGACTCTAGTTCAGGAGTTCTCCAGTGCTATGACTTTTACCAGCTCTTCCTCCATTGTGCTCCAGCACCTTCTGGCCATGTTGCAGAGTCGCCAGGTCTGTCAGCACCACAGCTCGCATTACCCGGGCTGCAGACTGTGGCAGCGAGACTGGGCCTGGCACCGAAGGCCCACTTAATGTTGTGCATCCTTGGGTCCTGTCATTGTCATATTGGCAGATCCCATCATCCAGTTTAGTACTGGCCTCGGTGCCAGTGCCTCTCCTGGTACCAAGCAGGAGTGGGTCCCATTTGGTGCCACTGGTGTTAGTTCCCCACTCCTCTTCAGTACCAATGCTGCCTCCATATTGGGCTTCAGATGAGTCTGATCAGTTGTTTGGCTCATCAGTGCTGGCTCCCACTCCCAAACTCCCAGGGTTTGTCACCACCAGAACCTCCAAGATTCCTCAAGATCTAGGTCAGTGTCGTCATCCTCGCCAGATTGCCCTTGGATCACTATCGGTGCCGAGATCAGGATAGGCTCTTGGTCTGGTGCCTACTGTACAGTGCTTTATCTGTATGCCTAGTGGTTTCCTTGGAATCCCTGGGACAGTCCACAGTCCCTACTGTCCTACTCCTTGACCTAATCCAGAGAGATATCACTGATCCCGACAGTGAGTCCTACTCCCATACTGTCTCAGCTGCAAGTGACCACTGAGTCCATTCCCTCGGGACCCACGGGGCTCTTCTGACCCAATCCTGTGGTGCAAGAACACGATCCATCATTGGTGCAGTGAACCGTCTCCTCGTCCTCCCTGGATGACTCTACCATGCCAGAATCTTCCTCTCCCCCGGTGCCCAAGGACTTTAAGGTGTATCAAGACCTCCTGAGGAATATGACCACTACTTTGGGCATCCAAGGGGAATTCCTGCAGAAGATTATGTATAAACTGCTGGATATTTTCCAACATCAGCTCGAGAGAGAGTAGCCCTCCCAATAAATGAAAGGCCTGCAAAGGTCCTCTGGAATATCCCCACTTCATTGACCTTTTGGCAAAGCGTTCGGAGAAACAATACTTTGTTCCCATGCAAGGGTTAGAGGGTTTCTGCTCTCAGCAGGCCCCTAACTCCCTGGTAGTGATTGCATGGCTAAATGAGGAGGAAGAGGACTGATGTTCAGAGTGTGTTCAGCAGGTCTTGCTTAATAGGGGGAAGCTCTCCACTGAACAGCCTATTCAACCAAATGGAAGTGATTCTCTGTATGTTGGTTAGCCCAGGGAGTTCAACTGACACTCCAAGATATCCTGGATAGAAGCCAGAATCTGTTATACCTTCAGTCTTCCAGTCTTCTATTCAGTTCATTGAAAGTTCACCTGGCAGGAATTTTGGCATTTCATCCACCTATACATGAGAAGTTGGTGTTTTCAAATTCCATGGCAGTATGATTCTTGAAAGTAGTCACTCATCTCCATACATCAGTTAAAGAGCTGGTTCCTTTGTAGGGCCTTAATTCAGTTTTAGAGGCTCTTATGAGACCTCCATTTGAGCCTCTGGCAACTTCTTCTTTCCCCCTTCTGTGTCAGAAAAATGCCTTCCTTGTGGCGATAACATCTGCAAGGAGAGTGCATGAGTTGCAGGCTTTGATGGCAGAGCCTCCTTACACACAGTTTTGCAGAGACAAAGGACCCCTGCAGCCACACCCTAAAGTTTCTATCTAAGGTGATTTCCCAGTTTCACTTGAACCAAGTTAAATATCTACCAGTGTTCTTCCCTAAGCTGCATTCAATCCCAGAGAAGCAGTAACTTCACACATTGGATGTCAAGTAATGTTTAGATTTTTATCTGGATAGAACTAAACCTTTCAGTTCCTCAACTCCTCTGTTTGTTTCATATGCAGACTGAATGAAGGGTCAAGCAGTCTCTTCAAGACAATCTGCAGGTGGATAACTTCCTGTATCATGACAGCATGAAGTAACCCAGACTACGCAGCCTCAAGGGATACGAGCACATTCCACAAGAACTCAGGTGATGTCAACAGCATTTCTAAGTGACATTCCTATATTGGACATTTGCACGGCTGCTACTTGGTCCTCTGTGCATACTTTTGCAAACCACTATGCCATTACGGCTGCATCCAGAGGAAATACAAACTTTAGAAAGGCAGTCCTGTGGCCCTTCTGTAAGTACACTCAGAGCCCCACCTCCGATTAGTATGGTTTGCGAG